CACGTCCTTCGCAAAGTTTCGACCTTTGCCCTCATGACACGCTCAGCGTTTGCAGGGACAATGCGCTCGGTAGGTCCAAGGCGCATCATCTTGCCCACGAGGAACATAAGTTTGCCTTGAGGAAATTGCTCAGAGTTCGCAAACTCCTGCATGATCTTATCCTCACCCTCGATTGCCTCATCAGCTAGCTGCTCGTAGTCCTCCATTGTAATCTCTTTGAACCACAGATCGTTCTCCTCAATGGCCTGAGTAACTCCACCCTCAATCTCTTTGAGATAAATAGCGAACAAGAGCTCCTTAGCTACCTTGCCCGTGATCTGTTTGCGGATCAAATGATACAGAAGCTGCGAGAGCTCAGAGTCGGGGACCTGTTCACAATCACCTTCTGGTGTGAATGTTAAGTCTCGAGCTGCGAGCGGGCCTGCCTTGTATGTGGTGAGGCGACCCAGCTCATGAATAATCCAATTGCCGACCACTGCGGAATAGCTCTTGAATTCCGGCATCTCAGCTTCACTGAGGTCTTCCGCAAGCTTCTCCTGGATCGAGTAGAGGACCTTGTAGTAGTACTGCACACGCGAGCCGTTTTCAAGGTTGATCAGAGATAGTGCATCCTTGGCTGTAAGCCCAAATCGAGCAATCAGAGTATCCAGTTCCGAATCAGGTGTCACAGCCAATGACTGTCGTAAGTGGCCAACTAGATCGTCCCCAATGACCAGTGGCGCAATATCAGGGTCGGGCATATAGCGATAATCAACCTCGCCTTCTTTTCCACGGAGGCGTCGCGTTTCTGTAGATCCGATGGACCAACCGCGAGTCTCACTGGGTATAGATCGTCCAGCTTCCAACTCCCGAATTTGTCGGTCGCGCTCGGCAATGATGGCATCTTCAACCGCCTTGATAGTGCTCAAGTTTTTGATTTCGGTTCTTGTACCAAGGGAAGGGTTAGATCCATCAGTCCTGCGAACAGAAACGTTGACATCGGCTCTCAGGCCTCCAGTCTCCATACCTGACACACAGGCATCAACAGTGTTCAGCAGCATCTGAACTTTGCGCACAAAGACAGCTGCAGTTCGGGGGTGATGAAGCTCAGGTTCCGTAATGATCTCAATCAGAGGCACTCCTACACGGTTGAAGTCGAGCCATTGAACATTGTCTGTCTGAGCCAACGTCTTTGCCGTATCCTGCTCGAGCTGAACTTGTTTGATTCCGATCGTGACACTTTCGCCATCTTGAGGAGAGATTCCGTCGCGGGCAAGAAGAGTGATGTGACCGTTCTTGGCAAATGGTTCATAATACTGGGTGATCTGATATCCCGAGGGCTGGTCCCACCAGAAGTAATGCTTTCGGTCGAATCGACTAACCTCCTGGACTTCGCAGTTGAGGGCGAGAGCTGCACGGAGAGCGGGGATCAGAGTCTCTTTCTGAAAGAGAGGTTGACTGCCAGGCATGGCAACGTCAAAAAGAGCGACATGGCTGTTTGGCTCGTCGTTGAAAGAGATAACAGCCGGTGAAAATAGTTTATGAGCAGTATTCAGCTGAGCGTGAATTTCGATGCCAACAGTTAACTCCCAACCTTCGACTGTTTGCGAATCGCCCTTTGTCTTCTTCTTGCCCTGCTTCTTGGCTTTCTTTGCTTCATCCTTCAATTGCTTGCGTAAAGGTACTGGCTGCGCGGGAGGTGGTGTGACGACTTCAGGAGACGTATGCAGATGCCTGGTTGTATGGGCGATAGACGCAGCAGCTGAAGGTAATGAAGGGTGTCTGTGTATGTGGCGTACACTGAGGCAGCCTTGCCGAGGTATTTGGCCTTTCAGCAGGTACTTGCTGAGGACCGACGTGGGAATGCGTGACATGCTGATAAGAAGAGTGAATGATTCCTAAGTTATTGCCTCAGTTGTTGGTGATATAGCTTCATGAAAGCTTAGTTTGAGAGCCCCTCGTAAAGTTTAATGAGCTTAATCTCTGGCTTGTAGAGCCCAGTAAGATATCGCAGTACGGAAGTACGATCCTATACAGAATACGTTGGTGTGGTGTGTTGTGAGGGTTGCAGTGGTAATGCGTTATGACCTGGCAACACAATTGAGGCTGATTATATATAAATCATAATAACGAACGGGGTCGTTGTGGCCTCAAATTGGTGGTTATCGGAAACGTCTGAGCAACTCAATTGGTCTTTGGAGAATCTCGAATCTTTCCCGGTCTCGCTTTCGTAGCTCTGGTGGGGCAGCGATGATCTTTGGTGATGGGGTCGTGGATGAATGTGTATCACGTGCCAAGATGCTTGTACTGTAGTATGATTCTCAGCTCTTGCCAACTTCACTGTCATTCCTTCCATAGGTTCTATCATCATTTGTTCTTTCCTTTTATCTATTTTCTCTCTTCAATAAAATGCTATCAAACATTCATTTAATTCTTTGAGAGAAGTTCTACATAATCTCTGATTGCCAAGTGTCCCTGTGTTCAAGTCTAGGTCGAATCCCCTTGTGTTTAACGACCTATGCAATGTGAAGCTTACTTTTTACCTTATTCGGTTTTACTGCATGGTTAACTGTCATATTTATCTCACCAACACTTTCCATGCTCCTTCCAGTCTCACATGCAACACGAGCATTGCCGTTGATGCCACCCACGCTCCTTCCTTACTTCACTCCCCCACCACCTTCCCTATCTACCCCAATGGCGAGATCAAGTGCTCGGACGGATTCTGCTGCTCAGCTGTTCGCGCTATTGTTGCTTGAAACAAGGCAATCATGCGGACTATTTGACAATGGAAGATCAGCTAGAGCATGACATTATTATTTACTTCTTCTCAAGTTCGTCATCAGTTCATCATTGTTTTATAGGTCACTTCAAGAAGTCTTGAATCCTACATACATACACTCTTATCTTCCCCCGCATCTCCTCTATATCTTCACTCATTAAGTTATCGGGAACTTTTCTTTGTCTTACGTGGGCTTCAAGGCTGTCACGTCAGAGCTTACTCCTCTCTAAGCTTGTCATTTGAAGTTGCTTCCGGAATCCAACGTCGGCTCCCGGTACTACGGTACAGTCCAACACTCTATTCGGCCGTATTCAAACTTCAGTGAACTGCCGTTACGACTGAGATGTTCAAGATGCTTCATCTCTAATCCTTTAACGAACATCCAGCTTACACTGGGCAACATATGCAGCGTGCCAGCTGAGTGTGTACTTGGATGGTATTACACAAGGGTTCGTTAATAAATCTCTCTTTTCAGCAATCAACTCAGATTGGAAGTTCTTAGAAAAGCTATTGAGGAGAACTGCATATTTGCAGTAAAGATTTCACATCGAATAAACTATACAGGTTCCGTTTACGCAAACCCATAATGACCGACAGAGCCCAAGATCGGCAGAGGCCCTCATGGTCTTCATCTGAGGGCGCTCCGATACAAAAGACCATATCTCACCAATCTACGGTTGAAGATTGCGAAGAAAGCGCTAGCCGGTCACCGAGTGAGGGTGGAACTCAACAACTAACGCCGACAAGCTCGTCATCCAAAACAGAGTACACTCCCCCCAGTGTTCAACGTACTGTCAGCGGATCTGTTACGCAGCTTACATCCAGTGACGATACGGCCACCTCCAAATCTGCCGGTAACAAAACCAAAGCGATTAGGGAAAATAGAAACCCTAAGAGTAGAGGAACACGCCGGCCTGCTAATATGTCTTTTTCCGGGTCCGACCCGAACTCTGTGGCCCACGAAGCGTTCCAGTCATCCCCAGAATCAGGCTATTTTAAAAGCCCCATCATTGGTCGTCAGGCACCGGCAGCTGGGTATGCCCCTTCAGCTGTTGCTGTCGCCAATTATCCTCAGTCTCCCGTCGGTCCTGTAGCTTACCCAGGCTGGGTACCAGCACATACTCCTGCTGGTTATCCCCCGCCCCAAGAACCCTTCACACCACAGCAGCCGGGTTTGCCGCCTGTTGATCGTCACTATCCATCTAGACCTGTCTTCCAGAGCCAGAGATCGACGGCCCTGGAGCCTGCCTACCATAATCAACCACTTCCATACGATACCGCCTACTCAGAAACACAAGAAGATATGGCTGCAGAAAACGAAGACCTGCCACTTGAAGCTCTCAATGGTTACGCGGCGATAGCGGCTAGGATATCAGGGCAATGCGACCCACGACTAAGACCGTTGTATAGAAGATTCGATTGGCTCAATCATCGTACCCTCCTCTACTTTCAAGACCAGCTTGTGATGTATGAGGAGGAACTGATACAATTGGACTCGATTACAACTGTGAATGGCGGACCCATGCCTGTCTCGGTACGAGAAGAGCGAGCTTCCAACTATGAAGTTTACCGGAGCAGACATCGACTAATGGACAAGATTGAAAATATCCTACGCCGGTATAGTAAGTAATATACTCAGCACGACTACCCACATCTATCTAATCATCCTAGGGCACTTGGTTGCTTCCCTTGAAGATATGCAGAAGCTACCGACACCAACAAGTAACGATGTGCAAGCCTACAGAAAGTTCCTTGAAAATCGAAAAATGCTAGTCGACAAAGAGTCTGAGTTTATATACGCATCAGATCTTGTTGCTTTGACTCAAAAGACGAGAACCGCGCATGGAGGTGATCATCAAGCACCTGCCCCAATCGTGCCTCTTCGGACACTAATCAGCGCATTCTCTATGAGTGGTCTTTGCCTGGCGGTGTTACTGATGATTCTTCCTGACCTTATAACTCGCCTAGTTATGCTGGTTTGCTATCTTGTTCTCATAGCAACTGTGCTATCTACCACTGGACATCTACGCCGACTGAGACAAATGTTCGAGGGATGATTTACTGGACGATTTGCGATATTATAATTTCAAGTATATAATATCTGGAAAAGATTCGAAGTTTCTGTATTGGTTTGATTGGAAGTTCATGCCGGTTTGGTATGAAGTTGGCGATACACTGTGTCAGGGCGTTGCGCGCAGCAATCATGTTACCAAATATGAGAGGCACTTACAACAACATCGGGCGAATGGTTTAGTGGTATAATACTCCCTTAGCACTATTCGACTGAATAATCTGGGAGTGGTCCAGGGTTCGATTCCCTGTTCGTCCATTGCAGATGGTTAGAATCCATCAAATATCCTCTTTTTTGCAAATTCCACCTTTTTCTTACCCTACATCAAGTTAAAATTTGTCTCTTAACATGACATTCATTCATAGCTATAAGCATAAGCAAGTTGTTTTTGCTTAGATATTGGTTTTTTAAAGTGCTTGCATCTACTTACTTATTATTCATGTGCGATCGTGACTATAGCACTGGATCACTCAGGGCGACCACGGGTTCACGTCCCAACACCCTAAAGATGCACGACTATTTCCGATTTGCACCACATAATCATTTCACATTGTACCTACTAATGTGGTTAAAGAAATAGAAGGCCTTCTTAAGCATTAATCAATCAGGTCATACGACTAACTCATTGAATTTGCCACAGAGAAACTCTATTGGGTTCTTTTCTCAAGACCCTTCAATTATTAGACACTCTTTATTACCTTGCATACGAAAAGCTTCCTGTAGGGGACGTAAAAGACCCTGAGACATACTGTTTTATTACGAGAACCCGCAGACTCGCTTAGACAATCCTCAAGTTCTAGTGATAATGAGTTCAGCCAGTTTGCCTCAGTCTGCTCGGAGACGGCCTGTCCTTCATCGGGTACTCACTCTGAGGCACAGGCGAGTGACATAGCACAAATGCACTGCTTAGACACGTGTTGTAGAGACAAGAGCACAGCGTTATTCGAGTGAGATTACTCTGAAATCTGGTGTATACATCGTATTTATGCTGAGCGAGGAGACCTGCAGTGTCGCTCAACTTAGGGTAGGGATACTGCGTTTGAAGGTAAGAATAGTTAATGGGTAGGGAGCGGGATATGTAGATCAATCTATCTCTTACAGATATGGCTTATGTTGTGCGAAGGAATGCGAGATGCCGCTGCGGTTGCAACGTGGTACAAGGCCCGCAGTATCGCACTTTCAAGGAGACAATTCAGTGCTAAGAGTAATTAGACATGGCGATGCAAGGATGTTGGGAGGATAGTCGAGACTGCCTTTGCGGGAGAGATCAATATAGTAGTGTCGAGATGGTGAATGGTATGTCCTAATATCTATTGTACAGCGAGGGAGTGGTTGTGACTATCGTGATTCATAGACGAAGCGATATCCAGCCCATCCCATTGTCAAATACACAATAGTTGAAGAGGAAAAGGAGAGGATCAAGTAAATGGCAAGGGAAGCCGTTGTAGATTATAGTACTAAGGACTTAATCAATGGGTTGCCTCTGTTGAACGACCTGACCCTCATTCTCAGGGGCAAACACCAAAAATGGGATGCCTCAACACAACATCCCGTGCAACAACCATCGGTACCACCAACCAACGGCTATTGCCAGGTACTTCAGGTACTCAATCAGTAATTTCTATTGCATCTCCATTGTTGTTGAACCGTTGCCCCTTGAAACCAAAAGTTCATCACTGCCATTGTCACTGCCAGTGCTAGCAACTGGCAAACCATTCACCGACATTGTTTACGTCTGCCTGCCTAAGGTCTTAGGTTGCTAGGCTACCTGAAGAGTAGAAATAGAATCTTCTCGTCATTTGCTTTTCTACTATTTCTTTCCTTTCCCTCCTCACCCTTCTCTCTCTTCTCTGCATCGATCGTGCATCTCTTCACAGTCTTGCATTATCACTTTGCATTCCTCAACCACTCTCGCTATAACATCTTCAGAGATTCAAGCTGTGAGTATTTATCATTCTGATTCAGCTTTGCATTTCTTGTGAGGGGTCGTGCTCGGTCGGCAGTGTTTGTATTTCTTCACTCGCGCTCGCACTTCTTCACCTTCACCCTCACCAAACAACACTCCAACAGATTTCTTCCTCGCACTACTTCCTTCTCTCTATCATCGACCTTAGCTGTTCATTACTATCACGAGAAATCATTTGTTAACGTTTGCATCAAACAGATCTTCACCGCCGCGATGTCTGTCTACAAGCTCAAGACTCTCGCCAGCATTCTGGCCCTTTGCGCTCCTCTCATTGCCGCCACCGATGGCCAGGGAGAGAGTGTCCAGTGTACGTGTTCGTCAACCCCATGATTGATTCTTCACGTTATCTTCGTACTGACATTTCTCTAGCTGCTCACACTGATGCCCCCTACACCCACGAGTATGGTGCTGGCATTTCCGATGGTATGCCTCCACTCCACCTCTCACCTCATTTCACAAACTGACCAAGTTTCCAGGCTCCGTCGTTCACTCCTTGACCGTTTGCTCCGTTGTTCACGAGACCAAGTGTATTGACACCACCTCCGTTGCCGGCGAGACCGTTCAGCCTTCTGCTGCTTCCGCTGCCTCCTCTGTCCTCGCTTCAGGCCAGCCTTCAGTCCCTGCTGGCGGCGAGCAGACTACCTACCACGACGAGGGTGTTTCTGCTAGCACTGAGGGTGCTCCCGCTCCCACTGTTCCTGTTGTTTCGACCACCGTCGTTCCTAGTGCTCCTGGCGCTCCCGGTGCTTCTGGAACCAACTACGCACCTCCCGCCGGAGAGACTGCTTCCGCCGCCTCTGGTGCTCAGGGCTCTATGCCCCCCGTCGCCCCCTCCGGCGCCGTTCCCTCCGATGGTGGTGTTGTTCAGCCTCAGCCTTCTCTCATCAGCACCACCGACGTGGCTGGTAACCCAACCGTCCTGACCACTCTCTACAGCGAGCCTTCTGCCGCTGCCAGTGACACTGCCACTGCTGTCGTCACTGACTCCGAGACTGTCTACGACACCACCGCCGTCTCTGGAACTGCCACCGGCACTGACTCCGAGGAGACCGGAGACATCGATGCTACTGGTACTCCCAGCGTCACTGCCTCTGCAGCTTCCAAGAAGCTCTCCCCCGGCGCCATTCTTGGCTTCGCCGCCGTCATTTTTGCTGTCGTCTTTTAAACAGCCTCTAGATCATGCTTTTCCATGCATTCATCAACTAACTCACTTATACTCGGATATTTCTTCCGTACTGGAGAGAAAGGGAAAGTGTTGGATGGTTTGACATGGTATATCGATGGTCGTTGGTTTGATTGAGCCTGAGGAAGTAGATCGATGGTACACAGGATTGTGATTTTGGCCTTTCGGAATTGTGGAGGATCATAATACGAGTTGTACTTAGGTACTTTGAAAAGAAATTCGTTTTTACTCCCATAATTCGTCTTTATTCATTCGCTTTACTAGGTATAGACGCCGTGAAACTTTCCAGACTAATGTGCTATGTATGTAATGAAACGACCACCTCTTTATACGCCGTTGGTGTGCATAGACGCTTCAAACTGTAATCATGATATCCTTATTCTTTAACATGGCACACGGGACAGCCTCCTCTCATCTTATCTTTCAACAGACGTGCTCTCATCACCTTCATGCCTACAGAGTACCGGCTTCCCTCAGATCCATGGCCGAGATTGACATCGACCTTCTTATCTCCGTGCAGCATCTCCAGCAGGTGGCTCACATGGAACACATGTCCGCAGGCATATCCCACCAGAGTCTCCATCTCATACTCAGTGAAAGGCTCGTGGCATCTTGCGCAATGCCCTGGTTTCGGCACCCGGTGATCGTGTTCTGTAGATGGGTGAGCAGCGTTGCGCTCGGGATTCTCAGGATCAGTGGGAACATCCTTGACCTGGACATCCACATGCTCTTGATCTTGCATAACAACTTCAAACTTGATACCTTTACGTTGGCCAGCCCTGAGCTCGTTCTGGGCTGTCGCTACCTCGCTGCGAAGGACGCGTGCAACCCCTGAGCTGATGCTGTATTGAATCTCGTGCTCTTTCATCATGTGGGTGAGTCCTTCTCGAAGACCCTCGATCTCGAGCCCTTCAGGAATTCGTTTCACCACAGTAATTGGGTTGATGGCGGTTCCAACCTGCTCGAGAAGGCCTCTGATGAAGCTAGGCTTATCCATACTGTATTTGAGGAGATCCTCCCATAAGTCAGGATCGTCTTGTTCCTTGGCAAATTCGATGGCCTTGTGAACGTTCTTCAAGCGATCGATGATGAGGTAAAGAGCACGCTTCATCTGTCCGGTCTTGGAGTAAAGGAAAACTAGCTCATCGTAGTATGAGAAAGTCTCACACTCTTGAACAGCCTGGCTCGAGTTAGTATACATGGTATCTCATGTCTCGATCTTGTTCTCGACTTACCTTTTCGAACGTGTAGGACACTGAGGTCTTCAGATACTCCATAAGCAACGTCCGATCATAAGTCGCGAAAAGATGGACAGCCAAATCCGCAAAGCTGTCCACCAACGACTGGCTGTCCATAACAAGCCGGTCTACATTCTCTCCTCCGTGCTCTTGAATGCCCTCGCCTCGCCACAGGCCCCTGAAGTAGAAGTATATGTACAGATTGAGCTTCTGGCTCAAAAGCTGCTCCACGACAACATCGGGGCGCAGGAGACCATGCTGAGCTTCATCAACAAGCAGAGTTATAGCTTCAGACGTTGCGTGTTCGAGTTCCTCTGCCGTCATCTGGTTGAGTTTACCGGGTGGGACACGAAGACCGATGAAGCTAGGGATATCGTCTTCAACAGCTTCGGCAAGATGATTGTCCCTAATCAACCTAAAGGCCGAATCCGCATCATGAAGTTTGATGTAACATTTGAGGGCTTCACGATATCGTCCATTAGCCTCGTGTAACCTCGCCAAGCTCTCCATTACAATTCTCCAGTCTCGCCCCTTTTCGCCATCGTCAATACTGTCTTCACGGACGTCGCGGTATTTGAGCTGGTTCTCTAACGCTGTTGTGATCGTCTTGACGTCGAAAAGTTCGGGAGACCAACGATCCAGGAGTTCTCTGAATCTTGGTTTGTCGTGCTGGATGTAATGTCCAAGCACAACCTCGTATATGGTTGAAGGAAGTGGAGGATGCATAGGTTCCGTGGGAATGTAGTTCGTGATAGCATCAAACTTCTTTGCACCAGCAAACCTCCAGACCCATTTCTCCCATCGGTCTGGTGTCTTGAGCACTTGGCCACAGATCTTGCCGGCAGCCACCCAGTCGTTATCCTCAATGAGC